CTTATTATTTTTTTTATTATTATGATTATTATTTGTAATAATGACTTTGTTTTTCTACTATAATTATATTCAAAATAATAAACTTTTCGAAATAAGGGATATAGACTGCAATAATTTGTATTTTAATTCACTGCTATATGCTATGGTTTCTATAACTGAGTGACCAGACGTTTTGCTTTGATTGTAAATGACATATTAATAGAGTGTTTATATGAATTGTTGGATGTAGTCTTCCAGCAAAATTTTATTTTTGTATACGAAAGAACTGAAGTTAAGATTACCTTGGCAAATTACTCGAAACAAATCTCCAATTACTGGAGATTTTACACCTCTCCCTAGCAACTTGTGCAGACTCTGGATAATGGTGGTATACATAGTTACCATCGATAGTGATGAAATTATGTAGAAAATCCTTCTTATCCATTCTAAACCATTACAGGTGTTAGTGACAAAGTCGTATTTGAATGTATTTTTGTTGTATTGTACTATATTTGACAAAAAATAAGATATTAAATATTATTTACAGTAACTAAAGAAAATCTTTAGAGCTTGTACTAACGATGATCTGTGAATTGTGTTTTTTTATTAAATATGGAAGGCTTTAGTTGAAGTTCAGAGTCAATATCATTGTTGTTAGTTACCTTTAAACGAAACGTTGGGGTGAAGAGAGAGTGTTCACTTAGAGGTATGTTTAACGCAACACAGTGTCCTACGACCACTGTGTTAGAGGACACTGTGGACGGCGTACCACTCTCTCTCTATTCTCTCTCCGATAAGATAATGTCAGTAAATAATCAGTATAGCAACAATGACGAGTTTAAAAATAATTAAGAATATACCAGGTAGCACTCATTAAAGTTAAAATGCACCCGTTAAAACGATAATGGCAGGAATACTAAAGTTCTTAAAACCCGCTTTGCTCGTTCTAACTCAATTTCTAAATTTGATCAACATATTAATTGTTAATAGCGGAAAGGTTTAACCTAATATGAAAATACAGTCTGCCATTAGGCATACAAAGAATAAGCATAAAAGTCTCGGAATATACCTTTAAATGGGAAACTTACGTCGCAAGTTTTGAGCTAAATCATAAGTACCTCCACCGTATTGCTAGAAATAGACCATGGTCGTCCAAACCTTTACTGTTAGAAGAACATGTGGTAGCATTATACGCGGACGATGGAGCATGCACTAATCGCAACACCGATAAATGCGTTAAGAGAAAGATCGAAACATACTTAAAAGTGGCAACCAGCAACTTGGTGTTGATTATCCAGAAATTTAGCGTGGTTTTGAAGATAAATGAAGCAAAACTTAAACACTGTAACGCTCATCTTTTCCGCATAGCAACCACAATAAATACAGACATTAAAGTGAAGCAATATGCAATGACCCATGACACCATAGTGGTTAGTTGCTAAACATATATTTTCTGGATAATCTCAAGATAGGCTCATTCAATCTGCTCTATTGAAATTTTAATCCTGAACCATTTGATATGAACATTGTTTTTATCCGTCCGACGATGGATAAAAATGTAAAACAGGGCTGTTATAATGCTTACAAAAAATGCAAGGAGAACTCATTTTTAATACAATATTAAAACAAAACTTTATTATTCCGAAAAAAAAGAACAGAGTCTAAAAATATTATTCTAATTAATATGATATAATAAGCATATATTAGATTGCTATTCTTTTTTGTTTGTCTCTTGTTCCATTTGGTATTTGTTATAACATATAACATTATAGAATAGATAATTAAAAAAGTCATATAAATTTTTGTAGAATTTTTTGTAGGTAAAAGAACCGTATGATGTTAATGAAGTCAAACTTAAATACCTTAAAATTTTATCATTAAATATCTTGAATTTGAGTAGACTATATAGTGAAAAAAAAATTACCTGCAACCTTAGAAAACTAGAGCACATAATCGGTCATCTTTCTTCAATGTCATGGAGGAGCAGTAAACTTGCAAATGCATAGATACATTTCGGTATACAAAATAGTAAAGTGCAGAGAATGGGCGTAATATCTCATTTACCGTTACTCTTAAGTGATGTTAATAGCGAAATGCTAACTCCAACAGTGTCAACGTCATAAAAGCGCGCCACTTACGAACCGTTTTCCAACCAAGATAAGTAAAATATTCACTGAAGTATTTTCAATTACTAAGAATATTCGCAAATAGTTGCGTTGTAGTGAGAGTAGGTGGGCAGAAGAAAGATACAAAAATTGTTCTTCTTATGTATTTTGAGTGGGAATAAATTGTTGCTGTTGCGATTGTTGTTGTTGTTGTTGTTGTTGTTGTCATGTTCGCTATTGTTGATGTTTATGCTGATGTTGATGTAAAGTTGAAGTTGAAGTTGAAGTTGACATTGTAAGCTGTAAGCTGTACTGAAATCGTTCGGCAGGCACAAAAACTTTATGCTAATGTGTACTTCACTCTTCGTAGATAAAAGATACAAACAAAAATATAAGAAAAAATGAAAAAAAATGAACTAAAAGCCTTCCTTTGTCCATTGGTATGAGCGCTGTGCCATTGAGTCTGGCTGGCTAAGAAAAGAAACATGCCAATTTAATGGTG